GAAAAGGCAGAAGTATAATGATAATATAAATTAATTATATAATTTGGAAAAGTTTGGTGGGCCGGATTAAAAAGCTGAACGGGCCACATCCGGCCCCCGGGCCTTAGTTTGCCCATGCCTGCGCTAATGTCTACGTTAAATGGCACAATGGATTAGCGATGGAAGTATCGACACACGTGTATGGATTATTGATTACTCTCATAAAGTATAGGGTATATGTATCAAACTCAAGGCCCGGGGGCCAAATGCGGCCCGCCAGGCCGTTTTGTGTGGCCCACAGGAGCTTAAAAAGCATTCACTAAGGTCTATATATTCTATACATGATTTATACATTCTTCCTTTTTCAACTGGCCCTTTAAGGGGAATGAAAATGACTGGCGTTCCCTGCCGTGACCCGGATTCGAACCGGGGTTGCTGCGGCCACAACGCAGAGTACTAACCACTATACGATCACGGCGAGCTACTGGGAGAGACATGCAGTGAGCTACTAGAAGACTAGAGATACCAGATACCATAGCTGCTAATTAATACATACCCCCAGGTCATTTAATATTGAACTGATCCATTCATGTCACATGACCAATGACCAGACGATAGCAGTGACTCCATGTGTTCAAGTCCACTAGATATCTTTCTCCCTTAATGGTAGCAGTTCAACTATTTAGGTAACAGTGTGTAAAAGTAAAGTAGTCCTTTGTTGTGCCTAATATATTATGGAAAAATACATTTTAAAATTGTATTAAAAAATTGTCACCGTTCCTGGTTTCCCAACCGTGGTCTGCATAGTGATTTGTCACTATGTGCAAAAGCTAACCTGGAGCAGGGGACAAGGTGATAGTGAGACACCACCAGATACCACCTTGATATTTAACATTAACACAACAACACTTTCAGTTGATTGCCAATAATAAATTTAGCTGAACCTTGGCCAGAGGTTAGCATAAAGACAGCTAACAATGATACAAAAAAAAAAAAGCAGATTAAACATATTGTCTCAAAAACTAAAGTAAAACTAATAGATGGATCAAATCTAATACTTGGATTTGAGCAGGACTGTTGAGGTTGTTTTGTTTTTTTTTACAATAGTTTGAAAATATAAACAGTCACAGCTGAAGAATCCCGAGATCCTAACACTTAGTAAATACAAGTGCGGAGATTTTTCTGATGAAGCTCGACCCTGTTTGTGAGCGGGTCTCAGGCATGGCCTTTTCACTTTAATGCATCTTCACTGTCAACATTGTTTGTGTGGTCCAAACGATTGTTTATGTACGTGAACATTCCCTGGAATAAAACCCATAGTTTTTTTATTTTTTTTCTATTTTATTTTCATTTCCTTTTTGTCCAGTGTGGTTATACCGTATGAGGCACCTGAGAGAGCAGCTCTGGGCTCGGACTCTCACCTGCCATGCAGAAGGTTCCAGGGACTTCTTGTGGCAGTGGTGCGTAGATTTAGATTAAATACACTCAATAGTCTGTTTGGGGCACAAACGTTAGACTTTTGTTGCTTATTTCACGTTTGCATTAATAATCATATCTGCTCAGAAATTCTTGGCGAAAGTAGTAGGGATTTCAATTTCACTGATGACATTCAGTCATGCAATTCTCGCACGTTTATGCGTTTGTACGAACAGGAAACATCATTATGGCTACAGAGACCGTCGATATAATACAGAAATGTCAATTCCAAGATCAGGTCTTTTTCTATCTCCATCTATGCCATACGTGTCAAACTCAAGGCCCGGGGGCCAAATGCGGCCCGCCAAGCAATTTTGTGTGGCCCGCAGGAGCTTAACCTGAGAAATTAAAAGTTTTTTTATTACATCTTTTTTTTATTGATATTCTTTAAATAAAGAAAGCAAATGGATATGACTGGACTTTCTTTGAATGAAATAAATTATGTCCCACTGCAGCCTGGTACCAAATGACCAATGGACAGGTACTGGTCCACGGACTGGGGATTTGGGGCCCCCGGTGAAACTGAGTTTGACACCCCTGATCTATGCTAATGATGAAAATCTAAGACTCCGACTCAAGAGACAAGCTACTGTACTGTCCTGGCTCCATGCAGTAGTCAGTTTGTGTTACTGAGTCACAAAAGACGTTCCCGTGATGGACAGCAACAGACAATCAGATTCTTTTTTTTTCCTGTGAGTCATTATTGTTGTGTTTTATTATATATGTTTTTCTGCGACATGGACTTCACTAAATACTTTTTAAGCTCCCATGGGCCACACAAAACGGCTTGGCGGGCCGCATTTGGCCCCCGGGCCTTGAGTTTGACACGTATGCTGTAGAGGGAGTAGAGCTGAGGATGTAAAATGTAATAAATAGGTCCGGTTGAATTGGTGTTTGTAGAACTCAGATCATAAAGGTCGTCTCCGTCTTTGGTTTGATTGGACGTGTCTGCTCTGCGCTCTCAGCTCTGTTACTGGTTCGACAGTACGCACTTTCTCCCGACTCGCAGCTGAGTTTGTGGTTCGGTCGTACGTGGACACTCACTGACTCACGGCCCTATTTATCATTGTCACTCAGGTATCACTGTTAGTGTTAGCATCAGTGTGTGTCAGCTGGTATCACTCAGTGCTATCTGCGTGTGTGAGGCCTACACTGTCTGACCCTGACCCTGCTGTTTCTGCTCTTTCCCACACCTTTGTCTCTCTGTGTGTGTATTACATTCCCTGGTATGTTGCTGGAATTTGGACTATTTTTCCAGCTCACTCGTGTTTGTGCCTACTGAGGTGTGTCTGTAAATTCCCAACAGGGAGGCAGATAAACACACTTAAACACAAACCCTGTCACACCGCAGCCCACACCTTTACGTACAGTCAGGAATTCATTCAGCTCCTCTGGTCCACGTGCGCTTCACACAGCAAAACGGTCACTTGGTCCAAATGTACCAGTGTGTACCAGAGGAAATTAGGTGATTTGGTGGGTACCAGATATAGACCAGAGACAAGTGCACGTTGATTTGTTATTGTCAAACCAGGATACGCACATCGCTCATCATCATCATCATCATTACCTAATCCACGTCGAGATGCGAGTTCGGATAGCTAATCCACGTCGAGATGCGAGTTCGGATCCTGAATTAACGCCTAAAAAAATCTGATTATGCTAATCACATTACAACGGGTATGTTTCAGTTTAGCAATCGCACTGCTACGGGATCAAATAACACTTGAGTCAGTTCGGGATTTAGCATGAAAACGGCATAGGTGCCCCCTAGTGGCAGAGTGGCCAGTCTGAGACACCTTTTTCCGAGACCAGCGGTCCCCGACATTTTTTTGTACCATAGACTGGTCAGCTGGTATCAGCTATTACTACAGACCGGTAATATTGCGCCATTGATGAAGGATCATCAAATTTTCAAAATAAAACGTCTTTTAGACGTTATTCTGTTAGTCTCAGAGTCTGAAGAAACTGTTGTTTTGAAATATTACCGGATTATCTTTAAATGAAAAAAGTAAAGGGATATGACTGGATTCTTTTCGAATGATGTAAATTAGTAAAATTGAAGTGGAATTTTTCACAACCTATGGACCGGCCAGGGACCCCTGACCTAGACAACCCAGACATCTTTAAAATTTTGGGGGAAAAGCCTGTTTATTTCCACAATCTACACAAAGGTTAAGGATATTGAATATGTTTGGGATCCACCACCCCATCAAGGAAAGTGTTTTGTGAAGCTCAGTTCCGCAATTCTCTTTCCGTCCTTTTTTCATTTAAAAAAAATGTTGTCGCATTTAAACAGAAAACTCACTGAGCGATAATAATACATGGATGATGATGATGTGAAGAGGGACGTGTGGATTGTGTTACATGCAGCTGGCAGGGCATATTTATTAGCAGATTTTATCTAAGCGGACAGATCCACGTCACCCGTGTTGGGGTGGTCCCAGTGTCTCCCATGTTTGTTTGGTACACATGTGCATGTAGCCGCGGGCCGAGTGACAGACATGGCCCCGCATCACTTGTCTTCGTGTGTGTATGGGTGTGTTTAGACCTCAGGGCTTGGAAGGCCTTTTAATTCTCCGTCAGCTCAGGGATCGTTTTGCAGC